ATATATATATATATATATATATATATATATATATATATATATATATATTTATATAAGATTATAGAACTATGTTCAACGGCTTGGATTAAAGGGTAATACAGGTAGACGTGTATATATGTATGTGTGTATATATATGTATGTGAGTTGCTGAGTGTGTAGGCGTGTTCGTGTTTGGATAAATAGACTGGAACAGTATAGTTCACTTGGTAATATGTGCTTTAATGAATGTGTAAATTATATATGTACTTGTGAATGTAAACTAGAATTGGATAGGTAAGCGTGGTTAAGCATTGGGCAATATGCCATCTCTAAGGCCATGCTATTGCATGTACATACATATATTGAATTTCCCTTAGATGCCGATTATACACAATGCATTGATTACCTCTGGAAATTCCACTCTCAAAGTAAAAATATCTAATAAATAATTATGTGTGTATGTATAGGATAAATTTCGATAATTTAACAACATAGATGAAGTATTCAATATTTTGATGGTTTCAAGGATATATATGCTGATTAGCAAACTTAATATTAATTATAAAATATAAAATAAAGATGAATAATATGTACATACAACAGTAGAAAGTCAGTGAGCGTGATCCTAAGAGAAAAATCAATTTATATATCTTTTGATCGCCTAACCTTAGTTTTAATAATTATTGAATTATTAGCTCGTATGTATTTCTGCGTGTTCAAAAGATTTTCAGTTTCTCAGATTCGATTCGTTCCTGTCTAGATTTTCGAATACTCTTTTAAGTTTTGTGGTATACATACAAGGAATACATATATACTTATAATTGAGTTGGTATAAGTACTTGCCACATTGATTTGGGATTCCATATCCACCCTAGAATACTCTTTCTTTTGGATCATTAAGCATTTTATGTCCAATCCTTAGACTTACAATCACACATATGCACACAATCGGAATCGAAACCAGGCAAAACAAAAGTAAAACTATGCAGGTTTTTTTTCATATAGTTAGTAATACGCGTACCACAAAAGTGTAATATTAACTTTTACAAAAATTCAAAAGAATAAAAAATCATGCGTTTAAATAACAGTTGCTAAGCGATAATTACATAATTATTGGGATACGGCAAACAAGGGTTTTAAATCGATATAGTTATCTAATATATATATATATATATATATATATATATATA